CCCTGTGACCACACAGCTGCCTGAATTTTTCAGGTGGGAGGGGGGCATGTCCCCGGACCACCCTAGCACCGCGTGCCTTTGGCACGCCTTCACTCAAATATCAACCCCCCCCCCCGTCTCCTGAAAGCTATATCTGCCTCTGAGTAGCAATAAAAAATGATAAATCAATGATTTTGTTTAACCAGTGCACATATTATAATTTAACATCAAATACCATTATTCGATATAAAATACAACCCAGGAGAAATTCATGCATTATAATATATCAGCCTTTCTTAGGTTTGGCCATCACTTTGAAGTTTCCTTATTTTGTGTGAAAATGTGTTGACCACACTCGAACGTCCCATTGTAATTGCATAAAAGCAAAACGTTATAAAAATATTTCAGAAACAATCTATTTAAATGTGAGAATCAATTCATACAATCACTCCAGTCCCCTATAAAATATTTCAACAACTGGTTGTTCCCTATGAAGTGGCACATCAATATAAGAGTACTCCTGATAATAAATATATGTGTGTGTGTGCGCATGTATATATGTGTTCGTGTATTTACACATGTACGTATGCACATGTAACATTATATATGTATATATATATATATATATATATATATATCCTGCATTACTATTGATGCTTTTTGTACAAATCCCCTCTAACTCTGTTCAAAATGAACATGTGGTACACAATACTCCTGCTTCTGTTGTTATTTGTATAAGTTGTATACGTCACATTCCAAAGAAACGCACCGACCCATAACGTGAGCAGGGTAAGCAGAATGCATTTAGTTTTACCAACCATGAATGATTCTAGGGAAGAATATTGTGTGCTGTCACAGGAGGAGACGAAAGGTTTCATCTCCTAGGCTGTAAATAATTATAATTGAACATCCCTTTTCGAACCGCAGCTCCTGTACCATGTCTATAACCTGTGTAATGTTTTTCCTGTAGCGTGAGTGCCTGTAAATAGACAACAATAATTCATTGGCTATTTCGCTTGAACGTGCACATATAGGAATTATAAATAAATCCGATGAAACAAAGAACGCCCAAATGTCTACAGTAGCAAACAGAACCTACTAAAAAGAGATATGCAGTAAACTCTCGAGTATACAGCACCTTTGGGTAATGGGGGCACGAGGGTTCGCTTGACAGAAAATTTTGCTATGTAGAGAAGCTATTTCTATATGGTGGAGTAAATACAAAGTACAAGCATGAACGTAATACTTTTTTAATCCAGATATTGTAGTTATTGGAGTTAGAGATGCAGTAATGTGTCATGCAGCATAATTCACTTAAAATTTACTTTAATTTTCAATTACATGTACTTCATTTAATTGAAAACTATAGTGTAAATTTAGTCTAAACATTCTCTGCACTACCTGCTGCGGTCCTACTGCTGTCAGAAAGAAAGTTCCCTTGAATATAGTGTGGGATAATTGAGAGTCTATAGCAATATTTATATGCATTGTGAAAAAAGAGAGTATTTACACCTTGATGATCATTTTCAATGTTTAGGACTGACTGTAAACCCAAACAGACATACAACAAGAGAATGCACTCTCTCAGTTCTGGATGCTATTGTCAGCAATATCAAATAACAACTTCATTAAGTATACATACGTAGGAGTACTTACATGGTCTATATAATCTTATAGCATCTATGACTATATACTTACATATATATTAATATATACCCTTATAGTATCTATTAAGTCTATATATTGTATAGATATACACATGATGTGTGAGACGAAGGAGATGGTATATGGAATATAGAAGTAAAATGGCATATGGAAGTAAAATATGGTATGAAATAACTACAGAACACAACGACAAACATCAACAACAACAATCAGCTGAGCAAGATTAACGCACCTGTCCGTTACTTCACTGACACTGAGCCGAAACGTCTCCTCATTCTCCATCTGAAAGAGTAGCATACTTGTCTAGTAACATACAATCATGACATCATATAGGAACACTCACCTTCCTGTAAATATAATGCATAATACCGTCACGTTTTTCTGACTAGTCACGAGTGTCCTTGGGTTCCAGCATGAATCACTTCTGCCATATATAGTATATGGTAAAACATTGGAAATGAATGTTCGATTAAATAACTAATCCAAATGCAATAAGCATTTATTCATATGCTGTATTCATGGAGGAGTTTTTATATATCAGAAACAGTTCCAGCAATGGGTAAATGAAAGGTGGGGAAAAACCAGCATCAGTAAGGGGGTGTATGTAGAGGAGAGCTGTAAAGCTTCCCCAGCCGGGTACCAGCAGCAGTACATGTCAGCACTTCAGAGGGTAATTATTCAACCTCTAACGAGCGCAAATTTTGTATAAAACAAAATGGAGGTTTGAAATTCCCATATACCTATTTAAGTTCCAAAGGGGGAGGAGGACCCTGCCAGCCCCTTCCATATCAATACGTATATTAAAATGGCTCACATCTACATAAGCTGCAATTGTCTTCACTACAGCTCCAGGTAGTTCAGTAGCCAACACTTCAACAGTCATTTTGGTTGACAAATGCTCCAGAGTAGGACTGATGTTAGTCGATATCTGAAATGTCAAAAGTACGATAGAGCCAGGTATAAAATAGTAGAGATACACCTCATTGCCAATCATGTATGCAAACAACAACAAAAATAATAAACAATGGCAGGTCGATCTGAGATACTGCTTACACGAAAGTATTAACATATTTTGGCAGACGTGTGAAAACGAGACGGAGAGCAGTAATTAAATCACACACCTCATGATGCTCCCAATTAGAGTTCACCAATTCAAAATTATGAATGAAATGTTCTGTCTACCTGTCTCTCATACAGCCGTTTCTGGTTGATGGGAATCCTGTCAGTGCTTAAGAAGCGAGTGTTGTAAGATACAGCTTGTCCACTTGAAGTTTTTGGCACATCACTGTGATCACATGAGCTAAAACGGCAAGATAAAACACGTGCTGCTGAGCAACAGTGCTTGTCTGAGGTCTGTGATGGAGGGAATGTTGGATTAGGCAATTGAGAACAGGAAGCAATGGGTGGTTGGTATTTGATATCGAACATAGCCATGTTTTACTATTTCTGTACATTTAAAAATGACAATGAAAATTGATGCTAGATGGCGGATGCAACTGTAAGATAGAGCTCATATGGCAATGCCTATCATTTGTAATGATGATTTTGTAATAGCTTTAGATTTTGCAATTTTATTCTAATCTGGTCGAGTTAAATGCGCAACAAAGCAGGAAATTCGGTATTGATCACGATGCAAAAAGTGGCTATGGATTTGCTTATTACTGGTACTGTAAAATGGTATATGTTAGCACGAAACAAAAAATCGCTTTTTCACTTGGTCTTCTAAAAGTGTCAGAAACATAGACTTTGATCTGTGACCTGGATTTTTTCAAAGGTGGTGATTCTCATCATGACTGTATAGTGAATGTTGAGTGCATAGGTCAAGTCATGTACATTTGTACCGTAATTCCGCAACTATTTAATGCTGATCCCATGCCTTAGCTTAAAGGGGCATATTCACCCTTCCCTTACTACTCTTGACCTTTGACCCTTGACCCAAATTTCACCTCCCAATAGTCCAAAATATCAACACTGTACATCAAGCCCTTGCTTTATGGACGCTTTTGTCATTATACAAGATGCATCTGTGTCAGATAAACTAAAAAATTAAGCTACAAGCTGCAAATATACAGACCAAAACAGGATTGGTTAAATAGAATATCTATGTGGAATCAGGGGTGTATAAAAACAAAAAAATTGAGAAACCTGTAGTGTGCATTACATCATTTGATATAATTCACCGATAGAGAGAACAGAATGAAGAGCTATCCACAACCACTAGAACCACCAGTCATGTGATATAGTAGCAACCAATGACAGCCCAGTTTTCTAATTAGTTATCTGTTATAGCATTCTGCTCTAGGAGATGGTTTGTACGCATCATTAATTGAACAATAAATTTTTTATCTATCTGGTTAACTCTCTGTTTACACAATCAATCATATGTTACAGTACCTAAGCTGCTTGCTGACTGAGGTCTTAGGCTGCATCATCTCCACCAACTCTGCCAACGTCATTTTCCTGTCAACCATTCTTCCATTCTCAAATGTCCTGACCTGAAACAGAATTACAACATCGTCAACACAATATGGAGTTCATGAAACAGCGTTTCTGACATAGTCATTAGTAAGCATGAGTCACTTCACTACTTCAAGCCTAACATAACTTTCTAAATCATAAAAATCTCAAATTTACGCACTAACGTTTTGTTACCCTGTCTCATTAGCTTTTGTAGTGTTGCAAAACCACAGTTCAATAATGTAACATAGAGACATAGATTGCTAGGAAAATAAAAGTGGAAATAAAATAATGAAGAAGGATATCACGTGAGTGATAACAACGTCCGTGGCGAGATGTTATTGTTCATGGCATAATTCTCCCGTTTGCGATTTCTAATAGAGGCGACAACAGTAAATAGTCATTAGCAATCATAATAAGAGAAATAAACCAGGAAAGCTGGCGACCGGCCAGGACAAAGAGTGTTTCACAATCAATTGCCAAATTTCGAAGGGTCGCTAGTTGATTAAGGTATAGCGCCTCCGCTTGGGCGAGAGCGAAGGGGACCCCCGTGCATGGGTCAGAGAGAGAGAGAGAGGACTTCCATATACATGGTGGTGATGAAAAGATCCGGGGGTGGAGACGTCTGATTCTACTTTTAACGGGCGTCGGGCAGTCTTAGTTTTGGTCGACTCTGCAGGTTGCGCGTATATATGTCGTAACTAATATCGAATAAACCTAGCTGCCTACATTGTACACGACGCCATCAACCATCATGGCCAGTCACAAACCCCCCCCTACACTTTAGTTGCGGGACCTGAACTGTAATAAAATAATTATGTACTGTACAGTAATGAGTCTTACCTTTAGTTCATTTTCGACATCCTTGAGTACGACAAGGTGGGGAATCCCTGAGGTTCGGCAGTGTTCCTGTACCTCCTCCAGATTCTGTACTTTATCGTACTGGATGTCTGCGTTCAACCCTGCAGCCCACAAGTCCCTTGCTAGTGAAACCTTCTCCCGGAGCAATGGTCTGTGACCCACCGACACGATCAGGATGTCATACGCCCGATCTGGGATGAACTATGAATAAAAATTAAGCAATGTCGTCGTGATAACATGCTCAAAACGTTTAAGAAACATGCATAGGATGGACCGGGTATTTAGTGAGGGGTAGGCGTGGGTGATGTACAGGAGAAAATAGGTTAGTGAATATAGTCACTACAGGTGGGTGAAGTGTGGGTGTAGGGGGTGGGTGATACAGGAGAAAATAGGTTAGTGAATATAGTCACTACAGGTGGGTGAAGTGTGGGTGTA